TAAATCAGAAAACCTTTTTTTTTTTTTTCCAGGGATGCAAAATGCAAAATGTTCTGTAATAGTTCTAAAAACTTTTTGGACATGTTAACTTTGTTTATTTCCCTAACTCAGAAATTGTAAGAAAACAAAAAAGAAAGGAGGGCCAACATCTCACAGAAAGATCAGTAGACTTTGGATTTCGAAATGACACATTGAGTTTTTATCAAAGATCAGTGATGCAAAAACATCACAAGTATGGGTTAAGTATTCAGACTCAATAAAGATATGCCAACTGATACAAAGATGTGGTCATAGATATGCACTGTCTTAAAAATAGAAGTGTGAGCAGCTTTAAACATTTGGGAGACTTTCTAATAGTCTGCACAGGTTTTACCATTATGCATTTTTTTAAACTGTACTCTTCCAGGGTTGTGCAAGCCTCCAAACTTCAACTGAGAGGTAGATGAGAAAAATTTAAACTGCAAAACTACAGCATGCAAATTATGTTGAAATCACACAGCAATGCTTTTGCAAATTGATCAAATAGGTGATAGTACATGCAAGCACTTTCATCATAAATATAGATATTTGCACCAGAAGTGCACCCACTCCCAAAAAATCCAAACAACCTTATTAAAATTGGTATGCCATCTCTGAAAATAATTATTTCAAAATTCCCTTTATATTCCTCTCTGTGAGTAGAAAAATAGTCATCTATAGAGAAACTAACAAAAATTGCCTGAATCAATTTTGTTATAGGCAAAATTGTCATTGCCATTTGTAGCATGTGCATCTATAAAAGTGGTGACTGGCTTTGTTTAGTGAAATCCTGATAGCATCCCAAAATCTGGCTGTATGTGGTATCCATAACTTACGTATCACAGTAATACCTCTCCCAAATATTCACAACCAGACATGAAAGCAAGAGAAAAATGTTGCATTTGGCGACATGGCAAATGTGGCATTTCAGGGAAAAAAACAACATTAAGAAAGAATTAAAGATAAGTCACTACATAGCCAGTCCAAATTTTTTGTGTTACATCAAAATGAAGTGTGAGGTGATGGAGGTGGGGAACTTTTAAGAAGAACGAGAATTCTCTGGAAGGAACAATCACGTACACATTGCCAAATGCTTTTTAAGCACAGTGGATGCTGATATGCAACACGACCATTAAAATTCCTGTGAATTTTGAGCCATAATGTCAGTGAAATTGCTGCCATTCACTTCAGCAGTAAGTAAAGCTGATCTTCCCCTCGTAAGGACAGTATCACTTAAAAAAAAAAAAAAAAAAACAAAACCCTATTTGAAGATGAAATAAGATTTTCCCTAGCTCTGTCAAAACAGTTCACCAATCACATTCCTGAAATAAATGCATTGTTATCTTTCAAATAAAAAGATGCTTTTTTGAACTTCATGGAAATACAGAACTAACAAGAATTGCAACCATCACAGTTCAACAGGGAGAGGTGGTAAGGGTGGAATTTTGATACTTTCATGAAGTAGTACTGAGAACTACTAGTGAGGAGTCATTCTCTGGAGTTGCAAAGGGAAATGCATGAGAACTCTCCAGCTAGTAGTGTATGATGTAAAAAACCCAAAAAAGAGAGGAGCATCTGGATGAGTACTTTAAAACAATTTGAAATTTAATATTGAAATTAAATAGGGAAAAACATTATTCATTATATCCATCTTCCTACTAATTTTAAAATTTCAGCATTGTTTCTAGATTGATCAAATAAGAACAAGAGAATAATCAGGCTTGATGATATAGTGTCAGAGAAATTAAAAGAATGGTGTATACATGATCATAAATGAAAATAAGTCCAATTAAGGATTTGCTTGCACTGACTGACAGAGACTACAGGTTCTTATATTGCATAAGAAATGCATATGGTACATCTTGAAGTTTGAGTACATTTCTTCATCATTCGTCAGGGGAATGTCTTAGTCCTGACCCTTCGGTGGTTCAGACTGAGGGTGAAGTAATTAAGATAAATCAGAGAAATTTACAAAGATGATGTATATAGCCAGGTCTAATCATGAAAGCAGAAATGTAATGATGAAAGCAGAAATTCAAGGATGAAATGATTTACAGTCCAAATTTTAAGTCAGTGCAAGTAAAAGTGATATTCAAGAGTCTGAAGGCAAGTTATACTCATTTTGCTACTTTGATGCTCAGAATAGAGTTGATTCAAGGCAATTTATCATTTTCATTACTTTTAGAAATAAGAGTCACCTATACTAGGCAATTGCCCCTTTAGGACCTGTTATTCGGAAGACACAGGTTTTTAATTCGAGGCAGTTTTTGCATAGATACGGCTCCAATTTTCTTCACTCATCTCTGGATTTTAACTTCTTTAATATTCAGTAGTGTCAAGTGCATGCTGATGGTTTTATTTTGTTGCTATTATTAAGAGAAAAAGTAATGAAAGAGGTGTAAGGAAATGTTTCACTTGCCTCTTTCTACTTTATATTGCTCCAGTTGCCTGTCTCATCATTTTGCTTTGTGGGATTAAAAACTGCACATTGGTGGGTGGTGGTAAAGCAGCTCTTGCACTTCTATTATCTTTTAACATAATTGACCAGAGATTACAGAGTAGCATAGAGGGTTTATAGAAATCTTTATTCTCTCTGAGATGGTAACATAATTTTTGCTACTGGTGGTCAGGTGTGTCTATGGCTCAAGGAACCTTGTTTTTCCCTTATTTCCTATGCCACGCTGTTTTGTATTCCGAGATCCTGCATAGAACAGGCAAGTTGCCTGCATGTTTCCTGAGAGACTTTTTTTATCATCATTTTTCTGAGGCCTTTATTTACTCAACAGCAACTTTTAACAGCCTTCAGTGAAAAGCTGACACTTGTCTTCTACCCTGTATTCTTAATCATGCCGCTTTTTTGCAATGAGATAATAAGCACCTACAATTTTGCCTCAGACATTTTGGTTCTGTTCCTGTATTAATCTTTTTTCAAACAATCTCTGCCTTTCTATCAGTGGCTGTCAAGAGCAGAATGATGTTCCTGATGACTACTCTTCAGCTAAAATTTCAGATCATCTGTCACAATCCAGTATTTATAACAAATATTCCTTGCTGTATGAGGTGACATACTGAAACTCATCACCTTCTGGCTATGGGCACTCAGGGCCTTCAGAGACCCTGGAATTCACTCAGTTTGTTTGTAAAGCCAGAAAGAGAGCAATGCTTTCATGCCATGGAGTGCTGGCACGGCTAAGGTTCAGAGGGAGATGCAATGTCTTTATTTCCTCTCTGAAGCTGAGTGTTGGGAGAGGAGCTGTAATTTTACTGGGACCGGATTATTCCCCTTTACACAGCACACTACTCAAATCTGAACACGCAACCCAAATTTGCTCACAAAACTCTGAAATGCATATATGTTGTTTCTGATGCTCCAAAAAAATGACAGGATTTGCTGGAGACGTCTGGTTTTCCTGATTATAATTAGGTAAAAATTAGGTATTAAATTCTGTACTATGTTGAGAGTAGATTCATGATGTTTCTTCCCCAAAAGAGTGATGAGAAAATTTTAAAAATCAGCACCACTGTGGAACTTTATAAGATGATAAACAAAAGCAAGCACTACCAGCATTTTCAGAAGAAAAATTAAAATAATAATGAACACCATAATATTAAGAAATAACTTTCTTAAAAGCCCTCCCATATCTCCTAAGTTTTGCTATTTTAAAAAATTTTGTTATTGGCACTTCAAAGTGTTTATTACTTGGTGCAATAAACAGAGTGCTAGTTCTCTGTCCAATATATTTCCAACTCTTTGAGATTTAGAAGAGGACTAAAATGAATGATATTTTTTTTCCTAGAATTGAGTGTGGGTGTATCCTGCATAAACAGTGCAAAAATGTTTTATGAATCAGACCCTAATTTTCACAATTTCTGAGGCATTTACAAGCATCCCTCCAAAATGAATAGCACCTTTTCTTCCCTAGATATAGAACCGAAATCATTTCACATATTACCTTCAGAAGCTTGCACTTTTAACTTTTAAATACAATACTAAACTATTTCTGTAAAGTTAAGTTGCAGATCAATGCTTTCTTTTGTCACAAAAAGGAGGAACATTTGTGTACAGTTTAATTTATATTAGTGTCTGTGTGATATTGTAGACAGAAGACTAAACATCCTGCATAAAACAGATAGGTCAACACAAAGCTTCCAGACTGGCATTGTCAAGGTGCCTTGCAGCATTTTTCCTCAAAGCAGCATTACTAAAAGAAGAAGCAGCTTTTCACTAAATTACTGGGAAAGGGAAGTGTGAACCAGTATGAAGCCAGTTATCTGCAAAGACCGGAAGTTAGATCTTAAATCTCCTCTCAGGAAACCATCAAACAACTAATGACTTGTCAATAAAGCCAAGCACCTACTTTGCAGTCATTGTCATGAAACTGATTAGCGCCACAAAAGCCAAGGGTTAGTGTCCTTTTGAAATCTAGTCCCATTAGGAAAATGGCTTCACAGTCTGACCCAGATCCTTCAGCTACACAGGAATACATAATCAAACAAACTAACTGCCACTCTTGTAAAAAATGTAGATCTTGGGTTTAAATCTTTTATGTACAGATAGGTTTTAGCTTTGCTTGAATTAGCAAGGTCTGAATGTACTTTGTATTCAAAGGTATATGTTGAAGTACAATGTAGTTAGCTATCACAGGAGGAAACTACTTCTGGAATATATTATAAATCAACTTTCTCTTGTATTTTAGAGGTGTAGTCACCAATTATTTGTCTTTTACCCTTAACTTTAACATCCACAATATAATCACTTATGCAGATTTTTTTTTTTTTATCTAGGGGTTGTACAAAAGAGAAAAATTTTTGGTGTTCTTCAGTCAGGTATTATGTCTCTTTTGAAACAAATCTTTGACTTTGTATTCTCTTTAATATTAGTACTAAGTAGAGTTTGGGCAGATTATTTCAACGGACTTTAACCACATCCTAAAGATGAATGCAAGTATCTATAAGAGTAGGACATATTTTAGCATTCGACATACTTTTAAAACAAAACTTTTATTGGAAGGCTTTATAGCCTGGTTTACCTGACTCTTCATTGTCCACTCAAAGTTTATTGGACTCATTTGCATGGAGTCACTACCTCTGTAATCTTAATTTTTTATTGCTGAAATAAATAAACTGTAGACAGTAATTTAGCTTAGAGTCTTGCAAGGAGCAAAAATCTGTTCCCATCCAATATTGTGACTGATCATTATTACCACAAAACCTGGCCTGTGTCTTAAAGACATATTCCTAATGGAAGTCATAAATATTGCCTTCTGAGCTATATTTCAGATTAAATATTAGTTTCTCTTTCTGAGGGATCTTCAAGAGCTTTATCAGCTCTGCTGGAAGAATCTTCATTCTCATTGTTTGTTAATGGTTCTGCTTCTTTTGGGTCAGCATTCTTCTGTGCCTTCTGCTTCTCCTCCTCTAACTTCTTTTCTTTTGCCAAAAGCCTGTAGTTGATGGCATTGCCAATGAACAACCAGATACTGGCCACAGTCACAATCACTCCGCAGACAAAATACATGTACTGATATTCACCGGTAACATCTACTAACCAACCTGAAATACAAAGACAGGAGGAGAGAAAAAGAGTATTTAGACTAGGACACCAAATATAATCCACATCTTTCCCTTGGACAAATATCTATATATTTCTTGGTTTCGAAGTTGGAGCAGAAATGCCTTTTCAACATGTTAAAGTTGTCTAACACAGACAGTGGGAATCTTTAAAAACCCGTCTATTAGTCAAGATAGCAATTGTCATTGGAGACACTGACAATAATAAAATATTGAAGAACAAGTAAGTAAAGCTTAATGAATAATGACAGACAGTTTTTCAGGCTCTTTTATTTTCATTCTTTCATTGCCTTATTATTTTATTCATCTCCTAATTGTGATTGCTATTGTTTGGGGTGACAATCTGACACTCACTGAGGCTGCATACAGACAATAGGATGAAGAGGTTTGTGTCTTTTTAGGCTGCTGTCTCTGTGCATCAGCTGCCTGCTTTCCACATTTACTTTGCTGTGAGTGATAAAAGCGATAGGAACACTTGTCCCTTCAGCCACCATACTCAACTGCTGAGTTTTAAACTCAGAGCCCTGTACCTAAAACTTAAATTCAGACCTCTGAGATTAATTTGGTCATGACATGGAGAATAAAATGTAACAGTTCTTCCAATTTATGAGTCATTCCTTCTAAATGTTCCCAGCTCTGAGATTAACATTTGTATGTATCCAAGTATCTGAACTTTCCTACAATATAATTGAAACCCACAGGGTAACCAGCACACTTCAATTTAGTATGTAGCTAGATGCTTTTACCAAGCTGAAACCATAATGCTAGCCTATTCACCTGATACACATTTACAAGCCATCAAATTAGTTCAGAGTTTTCCTTTTTTTTCACCAAAATATTATTAGAAAAAACTCAAATAGCACTACAAGTGTACAATTCACCTATTAGTGTAAATAGTGCAATTTGCTGATTTTTATCAATATGCAGTGTCATAAAAATATGTTTAAAAATGAAATTCTGAATCAGCATTGCTTCAGCATACTATTTTAAAGGATATGAAGTAGACAAAACTGGAGCTTAGCTTTTCCATGTGTTCATCCCCTTTGTTGCCTCTGTTTGACAACTGAAATCAATTATCTATGATGTTATAGCACAACAAAAGGTTTTCCAAAACGTCTCAAAAGCCAATATACTGAGAAAAAGAACTGTGGAAGCTACTGCTCCATAAATATTCGGTTTAATATCTTTTGAGTTGATCCTGATCTCAGAACCTGACAGAAAAGGCTGGACTGCAGCAGGTACAGGCTCAGACCCCCCACTAGGTGGCATCGGAAGAGTCTGTGTCAGAATGCATTTTGCGCTACCTTCACCAGAATAGATTTCTATGTTAAATGATGAGAAAAATACGGAATGCCAGCCGAAGTATTAACAATTTACTTGTAAAATATATTGTGCTGAAATGAGGGGAATTGTTTTGACATATTTAAAATTGCACACAACAATGCTATTTTCATAGAAATACTGACAGCAATCTGAAGTACTTCAGAATGTATAATTACTTTTAGACACACATAATCTTGCTGACATCTGAGGCAGTGATATTGTGGATATAGGTTATGGTCATAAAGCTGGCAATCTCACTATCTTTATATTCTTGTACCGTTGGGCTTATACTACAACACAAAATACCAAGAAACACACCAAAGCTTCTCAATATAATTTGAGCATCTATTTCTTTTAATCTCTTATAGCATCAGAAATCTCAAGAATATAAAGCTTAGAAGCAGCATTACTCAATACTGACTAAAAATCTTGCAAATAGAAAATACGTTCTACAACACTCTCCATCTTTTTTTATTGCTAGAAGCTATACACCTAGGCTCCTTTTAAGCACCCCTTGGACTTGAAAAACATTGACATCTTTCAGTCAGTTCACACTCTGAATTGCCTTGCCCATATCTATGGGCTACAGAAACAGCTGAAGGACTGGCTGTGAGCAGAGCTGAGGTGTGAAATCATGTCAGGGTGTGGTGCTCCACAGCACCATGATGGAATCCCACCATGTGTGCACCCTGCCTAGACTGCTGAGCATGACTGCATGCCCTCTGACACCTTCCTGTTAGTTTTTTTCTCTCTGGAAATGCCAATTCTTTCTGTTTAGACAAACTGAAGTTGTTTAAGTCAGCATAAATGAGCAATCTTCAAGCTGTCCCTAGGCTGGAGAAAAGTAACTTTTTTACTTTTTATTATCAGGCTGTTACGGTACATTTCTAGTAACAGTGAAAACATTAAATAACATTAAGAACAGTGTTTATATTAATTCAATGTTAAATTGCAAGATTATGCTGTAATGTCTGAAAAAAATGGAAAGAAGTAGATTCTTACCTCCTAGAGGAGGGCCTATGAGCACAGGGCAACATTCCACAATGGTGACAAGTCCAACTGCACTGGAAAATCTGGCAGCTCCAACAAGGTCCATCAATGTCTCAAAAAGAACGCTGCTAACCATTCCAAATGCAAACCCAAAAAACACAGCATATATCACCAAGCCAGTGTAATTTTTTGCCAGAGGGCACAAGATATGACAGACGCCATTGTACATGACAGCAAAACTAAAAAAATACTGAATCTTTGGCCGGATAAACCTGGAGTTTGCTACAAGTCCCATGGAAGGCCTAGCGAACATGTCTACAAAGGCTAAGATAGAAAGCAAAAAAGCAGCAGAATATTCATCAATTCCCTTGTGCTTGGCATAAGGAGCCAAGAATACTATTGGAGCAAAGAAACCAATAAACATAATGACATTTCCTGACAAATATATCAGAAACCCTCTGTGTTTGAAGAGGGACAGATCTAGATACTTATTCATGGTTTGCCAACAAGACTTCTTGTTGTTTTTGTGCAAGGCAGAATCTCCTGTGCCTTTTTCAACATCTTTTTTCACAGGAGGGACTTTTTTCGGTCCAACAGGTCTCATAAGCGACCCAGCCACACAGCAGTTCAAAAGCAGACCTCCCAAAATAAGAAAGCTTCCTTTCCAGCCAAAAGCATTAAAGAGGAATTGATTGAGAGGTGCCAATGTGCTCAGAAACACTGGACTTCCAGCCATCGCCAATCCATTAGCGATGGGACGCTTCTTATAGAAATACTTGCCAATCATGGTCAAGGCAGGCTGTAAGTTGAATGCTAAACCCAGACCTAAACAACACATAAAAGACAATATTATTGCAAGTTATGCAGTGAAAAACATATCCCACCTCTTCCAAGTAATTAAAAATCACCAGTATCCAAATCAGTGATTCTCAATACAGAAACCAACTGGCATCAGAGAATAAAACACAGCTTCATGGCTGACTGTGAGTGTTAACCTAAAGACTGTGTCATGATGATATTTTCTCTTTTTCCCCCTCAAGTGCTGCACTGAAAGTCAGAACTCCTTGTTGTGTTTCAGCAATGACATAGAGAAGAATGATGGCATCAATGCCTTGACTCGCCATTTTTGTATCTATTAAGCTATAACACAATTCTCTCTTGGCTCATTAAACAAAAGTTATTAAATGTCACCTCAGCTACAATGAATGCAGGGTTTATTTAAATGCATAAATCTCCTAATTTCTTATTTCCAATCCTAATTAAGATCCAGCTTGACTGCAAAACTGAAGCATAAAATGGCAAATTATTTTAGAGCACATTCAGCTCCCCTTCCTCTGGTCACTATTAAGGAGTTGTACACTCCCCATCAGCAGAGTGTATAAAATGAACCCCATGCTGAACCTCTAGCCCTTCTCTCTGTATTAAGACATCTAAGCCAGAGGCTCTAATACTAAAGTAGCATCTGCTTGATGGTACAGGAGAGAAGCTTTCTTCCCTGATCGGCTCATTCCTGGACTCTGACTTTACTCTTTCAGTAGGCACCAAGTTTAGTATACAAAAATAAAAGTTTTAAGGATTAATCACTGAATAAAGAAGGACTCCTTCAGTCCCAACTGAAAGGAAGATAACCTTGAATATACTTAAATATCATCTCATTTATTTATTACCTGTCAATATTTCACCTCTCCTTACTTATTCTGAGAAGGGAGTCTAAAAAAAACCCACAACTTTTGATAAGGAGGTTATTTAACTTACTGGCATTACAATAGCTTTAGTTCATTGCTTTAGGCAATATTGAAGGCTTTGATAGATGATTCTGAATAATTTTATTTGGGGTTTGACCCTGAGTGATTTTAAACAGAAAATTCTTGAACTTAAAGTTGTTTCTGTGGCAGTATGTGTATGAACAAACTTACAGAAAGCTGATACAAGCTTTCACAATTCTACTAGAATGTCTAGTCTCTGCCACCCTGTTTGCAGTGCAACATGATTGAAAGCTAAAACAATGAATGTGAAATTGTACACAAATGACTGTAATAAGTGCTGTCATGAGCCAATCAATTTTTATATCATAATTATAGTGCAGTGTGGAAAAGTGCATACATACAGCATTTATTGAATAAATTCATCAGTTGTTTCTGAATTACCCTAAGAAATAATTTAACATCATACCAGTTAATTTAAAGGATTGGATAGTTCAGGTAGGTGAAATTAACTATCTTACTACCTTCTTGGATTGCATCTATACACAGAGAATTCTTGACCAGTAAGGCTCATTGGTACAACAATATTGGAAATAATTAAATATAACATAACACAATATAACCTTTTAAAGAGGACTCTTACCTCCAACCACACCGATACATATGTACAGTTCAAGGACGCTATTGCAGAAAGAGGATGCAATCATTCCAAATGAACACAGGATACCCCCTGCTATCATCACAGGCCGGCTACCATACTTATTCACCAAAATGCTGCTTATGGGACCTGTTGGTAGAAAGAAAATTCCATTTCAGGCAACAGGTAACTCTATCATAAAGGTCTTCATATTTACAACATGTTGGAGTGCTTTTTTCTTCTATCTGGGAAAATGTTAGAATGTTTCTCTACCAATCTGTCTTACAAACACACTCTGTGAGTTCACAGAAACGAGACTGGATGTGGATATACTGCCTCCACAACAATATGAATATTGATTAGTTTTGGAGATGGATAAAAAGATTAAAGACATCAGACAAGCAAGAGGGATTATTACAGCTCACAAGCAATCAATTCTGAGATTGGTCAATGGAGTTTTGAAGGTGCGAGGACTGAAGAATTTCAAGTATGAGAGAGGTATCAGACAGGTATCAAAACTCCACAGAGCAGGAGGAATCTCCAGGCAAGCAGACTAAAATCACTTAGTACTGCAGCATGTCCTGAACCCCTCCTTGGAACCAGACTAAAAAATATCGCCAAACCAGAACATAAATCTCCTGCCCCTGAGGCTTGTTTTCCCTTATCTCATCAAGAGGGGAGTGTTAATGGGCAGTAAGATGACTATAGGCTGTCTGGGAAAATCTAAAATGTTGTTTAGCATAAAGACCTATAAACTTTAAAAATATTGCCACAGGTCCATTTTTCAGTTTCAATTGCAGCTCAGTTTATGGTATAATTACACCCATACTAAGCAAACAGCTAGTGTGCAATTTAGCATGACATACATTATATGTTTTTAAACTACCATGGCTAGAATAGATGGTGTGCTACATATCAAGATTAAGAGGTTGTCAAAGCTCTTTAGGTAAACCTGCATAGCATCTGACTGCACTATATTTGGCCCAAACCACTATGAATAGTCTTGCTTTTGCAATAACTAAACTTATCCAATACAAAATTAAAAAAAAAATAAGAACACCAAACAAAAATCCCAACATCATAAAAAGCAATGCATTTCAAATTTAAGATAGAGCAGGCACCTAGCATGAAGTGGAATGCCTTGATTTGCATCTGAGTTCACTGCAAGTTATTCACTGTACTGGTAACAGTTTTAAGTCTCTCTTTTTATAAATATCTAAAAGAATAAATATCAGAAACTTCATGCTGTGAAAAGCCAAATGCAATGAAATTTAAAAGTGTGCTTTCATAGGCACATTTTAGACTCCACTTTTGAATTACCTTAAATATATTGGGGTATTATCATTGATAGACTGAAAATTTTATTTTTATTTCATATCAACAACAGAAATCTTAAGGATGTGCCAAATGACTATTTTTAGCTTATTTCCTTATAGAAATAAGCTTTTACAATAGAGTTGCCCTGTGCCTGCCTGTCTTTTCTAACAGCCCATGAATACAGAGATCAACTTGAAATTAACTTGACAGGAAAGCAAAGATTTGACTGATGTTTGGATCTTAGTTTGTATATTCATTAAAAAGCTTGAGTCCCAATGAGTCTTAAACACAACAATATATTGAAGCCAATGGACTTAAACATCCACAGCATGGAATGAACACCCAGACAACAGCCCTGGGTTTTATTAACAGACTTTAGAACACTCATAAAACAGTAAAACATTAAACTGACAGCTTATATGATGACACACCTAGTATTTATTTACATTTGAGGGGTACCATTAAACAGAACTGTGACAGGCAAGGATTTCCCCTTTGAGACCATATGAAGAAAGCAGTGAAACATGGAAGAATGCAATTTTTTTTATTTGTAGAGCTGTGTTTAGAAAATCATTGGTTGGGCTCATGTTTGAGTTAGAAAGCAAAGCCTTTTGCAATATGTAAACAAGAGGAATAATTTCTCTGAGTCAAAAAATACCCTTTTAACTGGAAATATTTTTTTTAAATTCAAAGCAAAAGGTTTTCATCCCAATATCAAGTAATAGCTATAATTTTGAAAATAAATGAAATCTAAGGCAATTTTAAGAAAAAAAATTGTTATTGCTAAACACAGTAACAGTACTCGCTTAAAAGATATCAAAACAATTGTTTTAAAAATTATTTTAAAAATACTTCCCTAGTTCTTCTTCCTGTGATGAAATGGAAGTATTTACAAAATTAAAAAATTCGTTTAGTATTTATTAACATTCTGACCTTTCCTCAATTACTGCTGCAATAAATGTCACCTTGCTGTAGTCCTACTTGAAATGTTCCTTTGATGGGCCATAGAAAAAAAATGTAGGAAAGAGGCATCTAGCAGGGAAATATTTGATCACACTATTTCTAGATTCATTCCCTACACTACAACTGGATTTGTACCCTTACATAAAAACTTCAGTTATTATGTAGATAGACCTGTAAGCAATCTGTTTGTCATTAAACAAAACAGCATGAAAAGCCAGAAAGATAGGTATGAGACCACAGGAAAAAGATGAGGCAAATCCACACACAACAGACTAACAAGTCTTGAAAAGAATGGCATTAGAAAAGGTTTCTGTACACTATTGCTATATTGTTAGCATTTAAAATAAATTTCTGAATCAAAAGACAGCATGCACAGGGCTGACAAAGGGTTCCAATCATAATCAAGAACAAAGATGAGCCCTGCTTTAATATTCACCCCAAAGTAGAACTGACTATAATAATAGTATTTTAAATATTGTTCTATCAATAGAACAATCCTTCCTTTCTTCTCCTGAATTACAGGAAAATGAGGGAGATTCTTGTTGGTTTCGGGAAGAAGTTTGGTTGGTTGCATTGTTTGAGCTTTGTCTAGAAATATCAAGTTCTCCTTTCCTTTAAGGGAAATCATCATGCAGACAGCTCCTTATCAAGAAAACTGCATCTCTGCAGATTTTCACTGCGGCTGTTAGGCCAGGACTGTGAGCTGCAGCTTTCCAGATCAATCAGATCCAGATCTGATTCCAGATCAATGTTAGCTTCACCTACACCTAACAGCTGAGCTCAAAAATTGATGTATTAATTTAGGTAGGTAGTAGATGAAGACACCAGAGTAAAGACAAAGATGTCTGAGCATGACTCTATATTTTCAAATTGCACAAATCTGGAATATATGACGAATTAAAAAATCCTTTAAACATAATACTCTCTTTGGGATGTTCTATTTAAGTTAATAATGTGTATTTATTAAACAGAACTCCACTTAATTTGAGATTTTCTTTATGTATATTCCAGTATTTTGATTTGAAATTAGTGCATATAGGAAATATGAATTAGTTAGTTTAAGCTCCCTAAGTTATGTAGGAACTCATCCAATGTGATAAGTAGGCTAAACATTTTACTCTGACATCTGTGCATACACTTGATTTTGAAGTCACATAAAATACTGCATATTCTCACCTTAACATAGATAAATCTACATTAATTCCAGCTGTTTGCCCACCATCACATGTTTTATAGCCTTGTACAAATTTCATTTCACATCGAACATCTTCTACAATTATTTAAGCAATGCTCACATGCCAGCATGGGTCCATATTCCTTCTGTATCTTTTCTTTTTAGATGAAAGAAGATTAGGTTGTTTAAATACTATAACACTGACAAAATCTTGCTATACATTAATGGATGTTAATGCACTAAAGGACTGCTGGATCTCTGAATCTACTTTCCCAAAGCCTGAAGTATCTGCATAACAGATGTTAAGTCAGCAGACCCACAAGAATATTTACCCTGATCTTTCCCTTAACGCCTACAAACCATCAGCCACAAAAGATTATATACTCCCTAAACCAAATTTAAGACCATTATCATAATATGCTAACACTCTCACAGCTGTATTTTTGTTTTATATTTTACTGTTTCAGGCAAATGACCAGGCTGTGAGAAGGTGTAAGACAGCAACGGTAACCAGGGCCACTGAAAACCAGTTTCAGGAAGGGCTGTGCTTAAAAAGACAAGAAAAAAATAGCAGCTTTTCACATTGTTTGTCATTATGCCAAGGGAAAGACGTCTAATTTCAGCTACATGAGCAGAGATGGGATCATGCATTTTGGAGCTGTTTATGATGTTTCATACAAAGTCTATAATACTGTGACACCTTTGTTCTGTTCCAATGGCTCAAGAGAGCATTCACTTGCAGCTGGGCATACAGAAGCTGTGGATGCTGAGTACATTTAGATTAGATGTCAGGAAGAAAATCTTCCCTGCGAGGCTGGTGAGGCACTGGAAGGGGTTGCCCAGAGAAGCTGTGGATGCCCCATCCCTGTGAGTGTTCCAGGCCAGGTTGGGTGGGGCTCTGGACAATCTGGTCTAGGGGAGGTGTCCCTGCCCATGGCAGGGGGGCTGGAACTTAATCACACCATCAGAGCCTGGATGGCCTGAGTTGAAGGGACTATAAAGGTCATCTAGTTTCAAACCCTTTAAGGTCATTTGCGAAAGGTCTCTCTCCATGTTTCCTGTAGGCTTCCTTCAGGTACTGGAAGGCCACAATTAGGACACTCTCTTTACTCAGATGAATTTTCCCAATTCTCTCAATCTTTTCTCTCAGAGAAAATGTTCCATCTCTCTTATCATCTCAGAGACCCCCCTCTGGACTTGATCCAACAGGTCGATGTCCTTCCTGTGCTGAAGACCCCAGAGTGGGATGCAGCACTGCAGGTTGCAGACTATAGGAGCAGAACAGAACCAAGAAGAGGAGCAGAATCCCTTCTCTTGTCCTGCTTTTGATGCAGCCCAGGACACAACTGACTTTCTGAGCTGCAAGCACGCATGGCTGCATCATGTCCAGCCTCTCCTCCACCAGCGCCCCCAAGTCCTTCTCCCCAGGGCTGCTCTTGATCTGTTCATCGCCCAGCCTGTGTTGATTACCAGGGTTTGCCCTGATCCAGCACCTTGCCCTTGACCTTCTCAAACCTCATGAGATTCCCATGGACCCACTGCTCAAGCTTGTCCAGGTCCCTCTAGATGGCATCCTGTCCTTCAGGGGTGTCACCTGCACCACTCAGCTCAGTGTCATCTCCAAACTTGCTGAAGGTGCACTGCATCCCTTCATCCCTGTCATTAATGAAGATATTAAATAACACTGGTCCCTGTG